ATTGTTTTAAAATTGAGACCTCCAACTCGGCCAGTAAAATACTGAGGACTCCGGCCTCGCCTCATGAAAATTTGCAAACTTTGCCTGCCAAAGATTTGAGTTGGTCTGATTTTGCTTTGCATGTTTTTCTGCACTTACGGCTCCTGTCTGTTGCTTGCGATAGCCTATATCAAGCATGTCAACCCTGAGTCGACCTGCCGGTGGTATCTAACATTAGCCATCATCAATGTGGCTAAATCTGCAGAACCTCGTCCCCCTTTGTATTTTATGCATGAGTCATCCTTTCCCTCAGAATACACTGAACAATCAACGGGTAGCATAGAAATTTTAAATCACATCACAAAACAAAAAAATAAGCCAGAGAACTGTGCTATTCAGAAGCCATTTTTTAAATATCAAGCTGTCATTTTTTTCTCCAAAGTCACATGGTCAGTCACATACTATTAGGTGTTAGATGTTACACGTACATTCATATTCCTTTCCCAGGAAAGTAAAATTCTGTTTGATACTAGGCCTATGGCTATTAGGGGGGCCTACTTGTAAATGATATAGCTTACATGCTCATGTTATGGCTAAGTAGTAAAATATCAAAACTGAGCTAACTTACACATAGCCCCACTAGTGTGGCATGGACACTCGCTTCCGCTCCATCCTTAGCCACACATCAGTATACCCAATTTTCTGTCGGTGTGGTCAAATCTTCGGCGCACCCTCTTATAATCGTAAGTGCAAATATTTTTTGCTTCCACAAATATTCCTTAGACTCTGTGCTTTCTATTGACACATTATTTGAACATGTTGAATGATTTCACTCACGTTGTTCTGGTATTTTCCAGTCTTTTTGCCTTTACCCATTTAATCTCACAGTCGCACTCCTCCCACACGCCATCTTTAAATTACAATGTGTCTGTTGAACTTGACGTCACTTGACCCCAGCCCACAGACGGCTTTTCCATTTGCTACGACTCTACAAAAGCATTAACGCTTAAGTCATAATTTTACCTGACTGCTGTTATATATTAGATGTCTTGACATTGAATAGCCGTCTGCAGGCTGGGGTCAAGTGACGTAAAGTTCAACAGACATATTTTAATTTAAAGACGCGTGTGCGAGTGAGACCATGAGATTGAATGGGTAAGGCAGAAAGACTGGAATATACAAGAACGTGAGTGACATCATTCAACATGTTCAAATAACGTGTCATTAGAAAGCAGAGAGACTAAGGAACATTTGTGTATGCAAAAAAAATTTGCACCTAGGATTATAAGTCTAAGAGGGTGTGCCGAAGATTTCACAACGCCCGACAGAAAATTGCGTATACGGATGTGTGGCTAAGGATGGAGCGGTAGCGAGTGTCCGTGCCACTACACTAGTGGGGCCAACTTAATGTCACCATGGTCCCTGCTCAGTCCCATACACACACGTAAACCAGACAACATTGACTTAGGCCTACAATATACAACTCATTCAACCGCTGTTCTACCGACATGACATACATGACTGATTACAGATTAGCATTAAGATTACATGTACATTAGGGGTCCCACATACATGTACATACATAGGGCCTAATGTTAGGCTTGTGCCCTGTGGCTCAAAAAGAAAAGGGCTAGGCCTAGGCATACTGCCTTTTATGTAGACACGAACAATTATCACATTTAACATGTTTAGTGGCATAGTGAGAGCTAAGAATGTGCACAAGTAGTACAAACGACCAGAGTAGGCCATTTTTACTGCTTACGTTAGTTTACTGGTTGTTCATAACCTGATAACTCAGCTGCAAAAGAAAACAAATATATCGTCGAATTCCCATTTTTTGATGGCCTTAAATTGTGTACATCCGCTCATACACAATAGTCAGTGTAAGATCCTTGCAATGTTGCCATCCAAGTGAAATATTTATTCCAACTTACCGTAAAATTTAAACAAAATCTACCAGGGAACGCCGTAATCGGTTCGCCGATCACACTTCTTTACCAGACGAATTTTTGCCGTTCGCTTTGCAAGTTCTAAAAAAAATAAAATGGCCACACCTCAATAGCTCCTATAGGGGGTACTGCAATTGCTCAATTACTGACTACCCTGAATGACATCACTATAGATGCATTGTGGGAGGCAATGTTTATTCATTGTCCCTAAAACACATTTGATTGGCCATCAAACCGTCAAACTGACGTCACGAGGAAAAGGTAAATAACCTTTGAACACAACATAGTACTTAAATTGATTATATTAGAGAAAAATAGATATTTGATGTTATAGCAACTTGAAAGGATGGAATTACAATACAAATGCCTAGAATAAACAAATTCAATTGATCCGGACGACTACCCATTGCTCAGGTTGTCTTCACAGAAAAGAATTGAGGGAACGCCCAGGCGTTTGAGAACGTCAGGCGCGAAATTCACATAAAATACATGTACATGTACACTGTCGTCACGCAAGCTTCAAGTCCAAATCCTCATGAAATGTCGGTCATCAAACTGCCAGTCAAAACATCAAAATAATTTTCCTTACATTTAGGCTAAGGTAAAGATATTGAAGGAGCATTACAAGTGGGGAATCAAAATCAAACAAATAAACACGCAGTAAATGATAGTGACTCCATTTTCTGAAATTTTGTTCCGGTGTTCGGGCCTGCGGGCGGTACAATGAGCCGTGCGTATACTCACGGAACGTGCACGCTCCCTGCGTGCGACTACTGAGACCGAAACTTCTGCTCGCTAAATATATAGTTCCATGTTGCCATCTATAAATAGATTCTAAAGTATGCGCAAGCGCATGCGTGCCGTGATCCCTTTTTATCATTAAGCGGTGCACCTTGACTTTGACTGAGGATCATCATCACTATTTTGGGACAATTTAAATTCTGCAGATGTAGAAAAACGGCAAGACTTCTTTGTAAGGGGACACTAATGTTCCTTTTGTTTTTCTTTCTTGGTTAATATATGTCTCGAAAACACCCTTATTTAATGAGAAACAAATTTATTTCCAGCACAACAGTAGTTAAGGTTAATTTTAAGATTAATTTTCTTTAAATACTCTTCTGCAAGATCTAAAATGGTATTGCCTATAAACGTAAGGATTCCCAATTTTATGTTTCTCCGGTAAAAAAAAAAGCATCCGTAGGCATGAGGATATTGTCTCAATGTCTCTAAACCTTTGACGAGGAGAACGCTCGGAAGAGTATCATTCCCATTCTGTGATCACAGTGAGAACAGAGACGTATTTGGAGGTTATTTCAAAATTCTTTAAAAACAGTAAAAACAGGCAAAAGCTGCATCGGAACTTTAAATACATCGCTTTAGGGTAAGTTTAAGATTAAACTGGCCTCTTTTATTTCTGTACTGAAAGCTGTGTTTCCATGGTCTTATGCAAAATTGTGATGTCATCCCGGAAAAAAGACTCAATGTTACCTTTTGTTTTGAAGAAAAAATGCAATTTTTCATTTTCTTTGGTAATTTATTCATTAACCAAAATTTGGTTTTGCAATGGTATACCTATATAGCCTACAAAAATCCATAAAATGAACTGTGCCTTCCTCGACTAGCTGAAATCCGGAGCTGTACGGGGAGAGTAGCGCTAACTTCAGACTTTGGAACCAAAATGGCTTTTCCCCATGTGCCCAATACAGTGCCTGTAGCTATTTGTGTCAGCCTGAGTGCACATGGACACAGCATGCACACTAGTTGTCCATGTGCACTGACACATAATCCACCATTTTGGTTCCAAAAATTGAGACACTCATGTCGCAACTCTCAGGCTCTAAATTAAACAGCCAATATAATGCCAGTGCCCGTCATGTTACGTCACGTGAAAAACCTACGATGGCACCCATTTGATCTGGAAATCAATATGGCACCCATAGATATAGGAAGATTAAAAAAAAACTCAAGTCTATTCTACGTATATCAAAGTGGCACCGAACTTATATGCACATTCTTCAGCTTGAGGCGCGCGTGCATTTGACAAAAAAAAAGTGCATGTCGATGTCCAGTCGAACCAAAGAGCTCAGAGAAATACGGATGCGTAGCGGCACCGTGATCAGAACATTGACAAGAATATAATATAAAATCATTGCTCTGGAATATGTGATTGCTGAGCTTCCGGTAACTGAGTAATCTGCTTGCCCTGAAGGTACTCAGTTACAAAGAGCTCGGTGCGAGCAACCTCGTTCCCATGGGTACCAATAATTATTGCCAAGCCATGTTGGTTCCCACCATGCCTTGCGCGGTCTAACCATTGGCACCTCTGAGGAAAAGACGATTTCTCTGACTTGATAGTCGAGTTTGGGTGGCCTGTTCTTGACACGGACTTCTTGTTCTCGCGCTCGAACGGTGGGAACACGACTCAAGAACACTGTTCTCGGAACAGGATCACACACCACCTCCTCGTCAGGGTTTTACAGGAACACACGGAAAAACTCGTGAGATTTTGATTTTTGAACAGCTTCCAAACAGCTTGAGACGGCTTCCAAAGCCATAGACAATGGGAAGTTTTGCAAAATTAACATTAATTATTTTCCGTAACACAGAAATGAATGTTCCTGTTTATATAGAAAAGAATTCCGCCCATCCAAACATTAACTCTCGAATAACGTAGCCTACTTGGACGCCGCCGTGTTGCATGTTGCTTGTCACTAACTACCAGCGATAACCGGTTGTTTGTTCCCGGCGTTCGAGCAGCCGACCCACAGATAACAAATCGAGCTGTTCGTGAACATACGGGAACAAGCCGCCCGAACTCGGCCTGTGTGTTCAAATAAATATGGAAGTATCAAAATCGAACGCAGTGTCATTTGTCTTCAAAGCTCAACTATATAACAAGCTAAAAACAGCTTTTTGAGGGGTTAATGTTCACGCTAAGATGCGAATTCTGAATGTAGATCGCATCATTGGAGAAAACAGAGAAAACGAGGGGAACCCTCGCCCTGTGTTGGCCCATATGGAAGGAAGGGCGCGTTTGGCAGTTGTTCGGCATTCACAAGGGTTTGTTACAAAACAAAACCCGTAACCGAAATCTGAACGACAAGGGGGAGACTGGGAGTTAGTCTAATGCGGAACAACAGCAAATTTGTAGAGGGCGGTATATAAACGATGATATCAGTTCTATTTTAAGTTGGATTATACCATTAATGATAAATTTGAAAAGCCGTCGGGGTTATAAAGATGTAGAAACTTTCAGAAATCTGAGCCTAAAAGATCATTGAATGCCACAAGAAAGATAACCATATGCACATGGGGTTTTGTTTTTTCATAATCGATCGAAATAAGTGATACTGAATGCATAAATATTGTTCGTGTACCCCTTAGTTTAATGTAATGAGCCAGTCAAAGGTCAGCTGCAAAAAACCAAAACAAGATACATATATTGCACAACGTGGCCGAAATAACCCCAATGATGGGAAAAATTTACAGTATAAAAGGCCCAATTTGGGCCTGTTCCTTACACAACACATCCGAAGAAGGTTTGGGCACTGATATTGCCTGCAGGAGGAGCAACCGAGACGGTTTTTATCCTGAGGTATACTCTTTCGTTTCTGTATTGTGTAAACCATTGTGATATGTTTAAGATCATGAATGCATTAAATGCGCACGGTGTTCTTTTACTCACAGAACTTTGCCTCAACGTTCTAAATTCTCATTGGTTTGAAACGCTATGGGATTCGGAATGTATCCATTGACCCTGCCTTAAACTGCACTTTGTCTAGCTCTACTAAGTGGAGCGTTAGTTATGTTAGTATTCCTCTTTTTATGATTTTGGACGGGATTGTCATACTATTCTAACCCCCACGCCTGTACATAGAGAGTAAGGTGAAAACGGTTCTCAAAAATTCTAAAGACTCACCGAAAATCCCTCTTTCACCACCTACTTGCTTCTGTAAATGCCAACGTCAAAGGTTGGGGCTTCAGTGATATTTCTGACTTCAAAATCTGACCATTTTCGCTCAACACACGCACAGCACTTATACTTTTCACCACCTCCTCCCATTCAAATACAGGCGTGTAGAGTTTCTGGCCCAATAACTATGGGCGAACATGGTCCTTCCCGACGCACGCATGACTGGCCTTTACGTGGCATGGGCACAGGACTTGTTGATCGTGACATTTGGGAGTGCTACCAATGACTGTTTCCTGGCCAATACATCTTACAATACATATGGGCCTCTCCTGCGTTAGAGGACCGAGTTCGCCCATAGAGTTATTGGCCAGAAACTCTACACGCCCGTATTTGAATGGGAGGAGGCAGCCAAAAGTTTAAGTGCTCTGTGTGTGTCGAGCAAAACAGTCGGATTTTGACAGATTTTGAAGTCAGAAATATCATTGAAGCCCCAACTGTTTGACGTTGGCGTTTATTGAAGCCAGTTGGTCGTGATAGAGGTATTTTTGGTGAGTCTTTAGAATTTTTGAAAACCATTCTCACCTTACTCTATGTTCAGGCGTGGAGCGTTAATATGACGATCCCTTCCAAAGTCATAAAAAGAGGAATACTAACGTTCCACTCAGTAGAGCTGCACTTTGTCCATCAAATCTTCCCCCTAACTTGGGGCCAAAAATCCGTCCGTGTCAATGGATATGCGCCACAGTATGTGGTTCAAATGTGCAAATTGTTTTTTGAAGAGTAGCAGGATCGAAATAAAAAAGGTCTGAATTTTGCCAAAAACAGCTCCTACACAGTCCAAAAACTAACGACCATGCATGTTAACGAGATATCATTTAGTGCAGAGAGGTTTGGGGGGGCATGTGATGGACAAACTGCAGTTTTAGGCACAGTTAATGGGTGCATTCAGAATCCTGTAGCGTTAAAATCAACCAAAATTTTGGAAGTGTGAGGTACACAGGAGTACTGGGAGTTCTGGGAGAAGTGTTCTGTCATACTTAACATGCTTCAGTTATGCACATGTAGCCTATATTTGCTCATGGCATGGGATGGAGCTGTTTGCCAGTTTAGTTCTTTGGTTTTTAAATCAGTCAGACATAAAAATTTGATTGTCATCCTTTCAAATGCATACAATTTACTTGTTTTGTTTCAAGTTTAAACAAGAGGTGCATCCTGGCTGACGCATCTTCATCTAATCAGCACCTGAGCACAAACAAGGAGAGGATGTCTCAAGTTAAGCAAGAGGAGCGATTTGGCCGCGTCACCGGGCACACGCTGCGGCGCAGCCCTCAGCCTCACCACTTCAAGGGGCAATTCATCATCACAAAGAGAACCCACGGAGACATGGAGTACGACGACATCAACAGCCAGTTTCAGGAGCTTGTGAGCGATGGAGACTTGCACGGATCAAGTGAGTCCAAAAAAGTCTCTTTTTGGTTGAACGATCACCCTCGATTGGGGTTTGAAATATTTTGTTGTCGCGAGGAATCTTGCTGCTAGAGTATCAGGAAATTTGTAGAAAGAATCTGAGCGTTCAGGTTTCTGTCAAAGGTTGTTGATGAAGTTGACGATGAGTTGTTGTCTTCAGGAAGACAGATTTTCCTAAAAAAATTACGTGATTGTATTTGTTGTCTCTTAACAGCAATAGTTCAAAAATAATTCCAAACTTAAATTTTGTAATTTTAAAGAACATTGAAAATGTCAAGAGGAAAGTTTAGTGCAGTTGTTATGATTGAATTCTTTTTCCAATAATTACCTGTTATTTTAATTTTTTGTATATGAGTTCAAGCATGCATGTAGCTGGAAGTCAGAAGATTAACTGTTTTGACAGAGGGATTGTTTGCACCCCTAGTCAGCTTTATCATGATTTTCCTTACACCTTTGAAGAATCACTGGCAAACATTTCAAATTGAAGAATGTTATCGCTGGGTTCATCATAAGCCAAATCATTCGAAGCCAATCACAAGTCAAATCACAAATCCCAGCACTAAAAGTTTGAGATGGCCAAAAACAAAGCAATGTCTTTATCCCAATTCATGTGAATAGCTTTTGAAACATATGACTTGACCCAAGGTGGGATTACTTCTGATGGACTCGTAAGTATCTGTAACTATGTCGGTGGAATTCTAATCCCATTCATTCACTTGCATCAACAGGCCATATGGTGTACTCTCTCAACAAGCAGAAGCGGTGGGAAATCCCTGGCCTCCTGAAGGATAGCATCTGCCACGACAGGGATGCCCACGACGACCTGAGCTTCAAGGTGTTACTGGTGGAGCGACACCTGGACAGCCAGGGGGTCTTCAAGCCGGCCTGCACCGGCCTCTATGAGTCCAAGACCCCACAGCCCCGGCGGCTTCCCCGAAGGACCTACGCCCATGCCCACGACCTCCACGGCATCCGGGACCGGGGTAATGCCACCCTGGAGGAGACCATCCGCCGTCGCATCCACGAGCTGCGCTGCACCAAGAACCGGGGTGGGAAGAGGAAGGTGGACTGGAGGGGCCTCCAGGATGCCTTGCGGGAGAGGATGCGGGGGGAGGAACAGCAGCGAGGGCAGGAGGAAGAGACCATGCCCCAGCTGCATTACGAGGTTGGCTACGGCCGGCCCGAGAACAAGTACCCTTGGAGGCCGGAGATGAAGCTAAACACAGTGACGTCCAACAAAAGTACGACACTTTTTCTGCACATTGTCACTCCAAGCCACACAAAGGTTGCTGTTGAATGGAGATGATTGTACTTGAAGATGATTGGTGCACTCTGATTAAAACAAGGAATGCTTGCTCTTTAACTTTTCTCAGCATCAACTTTCTAGTCAAGAGAGCCATCTTGGCCAACATTTGATGTTTTCTGTAAAGATTCCCCAGCTTAGGCCTATTTCTCTTCTATGCAAAGCTTTTTTAAGTCTTTAACTCAAAATGCAGGCCAATTCTTTGTTGAAATTGCACAATTCTGCCGACGCACTTCAATTCAGAAATTGACGGTTGTTGATAATAAGGTGATTGTAATAACCTGGTAAATTGCCAGTGGACACAAACCGTTAGGTACAGATTCACCATATCCTCAAGGTTTGTGCTTTATTACTCTGAGAAAGAAGTTAGGGTTAAGATTTGAGATGGTACTTAAGACCTTTACTTTTGCTTCCTCATTTTAGGATCGGCAAGCACCAAACAGCGTCATAAAGGCACCACAGCATTCTACATGGAAGATGTGTATGATATGGAGGGCTGTGTCGAAGATGATCTCTTTGAGGAAGCCCAATCTCAGTCCCAGGAGGAGTGCTATCCCCTAGAGGATGCCATCGATAGTGGTCTGATCATCAGAGAGAATCACCCAGTGGCGACCCTCGGGGAGGCCCTTTGCGGCATCGCAAAGAAGCCCAAGCAGTGCAAAAAGCGACGCCATAAGAAGGGCGACCAGACCACAGTGCACTCCACCCAGAAGGGCCCCTGCAGCAACCAGGCGACATCGAGGCCCGTGCGGGTGCAGCACAAGGGCGACACGGTGTTCGACCCAGAAGGGGCTGCTTACAAGCCGCTGCCAAAGACTCAGTGTCAGCGGCGGCAGGCCAGGGCTTCAAACCGAACCCGGGCGGCCCCAGCCTTAGCACAGGTGGTGCAAGAGGATCACGTTACCGATGAGGAGCCACCCTCAGTGCACCTGCACATCAATGCTGAGTCACTGCGGCCTTCAAGGCTGGAGGCCGACTTCAGTCGGGCTTACGCCGAGGCCAGCTGCAGGCCAAGGAAGTTTGCAGTCCAGGTCAGCGAGAGTGACACCGATCTGGACAGTGACCCCAGACACAAGGTGTACCTCTTGTTTGAATACTTGACCGATGATGCAACAACCATCGAGTGCACAGATGCTGCAGATCCCGAGACTTGGCAAGTCGTGAAGAAAGGAGTGCATGTGAGGTAGGTCAACGAATTTGAGAAGCACTTCAGTTTCATTGTCAACAAAAGTTCTATTTTTCTCATTCTACACAATTAATGCATATGTAAATTATTTTGGATGGGTATAGAGAGTCTGTTCAAGATTCACTTCTTTAAAAAGATAATAGACTTCTTCCCCAAGATGAATTAAGTGTAAATGTGGCCAAGAAGTTATGTGACATTGGAATGTTCAAACTGCCTGTGTGAGTGATGATGGAAACTACCTTGCTGTTGGCTGGCAAAGCTTGACTTCAAAGATGCAAGGGAACCATAAACCTTTTCCCCTCACACGTCTTTATTTTTTCCCACCACACGTCTTTATTTTTTCCCACGTCATGTTGACCTCATAGGATGACTGTGTATGGCCTGGATGACAGAGTTCTCCTGTCCAGTGAGCATCTCACAGCTTCATTTCCACCGGAGGCCATCATCTCTCTCCAAGACATCCTCAGGGACGTGCAGAGTGAACTCTCGAAGAAATCCGCCAGCTGGAACAGAAGAGACGGGTAAGTTGCTCTCACGGACTTTGCAAACTTCTAAAATTGCTCAACATCCCTTAGGACGATGTAAAGGATTTGAGCCGAAGTAGAAATTTCAGTCGAGTTCAGTCTAATTAGACCGTAAAGCTGGACTTCATTGATCAGAACTTAACACTTCTTCTGTTTTTTTTGTTTTGTAATTCAGCGCAGAAAGCATTGCATGCTCCCGAACTAGGCACATTTCTTTGGACGTTCCAACTGTGAAGACAGCACTCGGCTGGGACTGTCAGTTCAGCACGGCCGACAAGGCTTACAGGGAAATTGCTAGCCAGGAGACAACTCAGGTACAAAATGAGGAACACAATTTTTTTTTCGTCAGGGCTCATGTTCAGAGAATGTAAATTCTAACAATGAACAGAGAGGGAAACGATCAGTTGTGTGGCGTTTTGACATAATAATCTTTCGTCAAATCTGTCCAGAGACTTTATGATATTGATCCATTGGTGCACTGTTGCCAAATAATTCTGGATCGTGATAAACACTATCGTGAAGCTTTATTGGCAATTACTTGAGAATCTTGCCTTCAACTGCATGATGTGGGTTTTGGTAAACAGAAGAAATGATGCTGTAAGGCGGCATGCATGAAAGTGCTCATTAATTTACAATAATTAAATTTAGATTTGAACTTCTTGAAACATTTTTATCAAGTTGGCTTGTAGACATGCAGAATCACATGAGAATAAATTTGTTTATATGTTTGTTGCTGAGGTAAAGCCAGTCACATAATGTATCAAACACGGACAGTTTTGAATTAGATTGTTACAGTTATTTACAAAACAACATAAAAAAATACGTATAGTCAGTTATGTGAATAATGGCATGAATATTATGCAAGCTGGCTTTTTGTTTTGATATCAGAGCCAGGCTGAAAATGAGGTGCAGAATTCATCAGCAACTTCTGGTGAGTGTGGGATTTGCTACGAGAGCCTGTCTGTCCATGAATCCAGCAGAGCCGATGTCACATCGTCGACCATCGATGGTTTGGAAGCCACGGTCCTGTCCCCCTGCGGTCACTGTTTCTGCAATGATTGCTGGCGTCAGTACCTGAGGTCGAGGGTCAAGCAGGGAGTGACAGACATCACATGCCCGGTAAGTGTTGATTGTTACAAGGCCAGACAACGCCTCACATAATTTGGGATTTAAGACAGTTAAGCCATTCCTCTTGGTCAAGAGCCCGTCACGTGGCTGGTCTTAAATGGTTGACAAAGTACCAGCTAGCTCTGCTCCACCTCATGCAGTGTGCACCATGTGTGTTCCAATCTCCAAGAAAGGAGACTGTTTACAATTACTTGTGAGTGGAACATACCATAACGTTGCTGGGGGGAATTTTGAAAAAAAAGTTGAAATGAAAACTTTTGAGCAAAATCATTGGAAATGTATAAAAAAAAAAGAAACAGCACTTGAGCTTGTATGCATTCTTAAAAGCTACGTTAAGGATGCGAACCGCTGTGAGATTGGTTCATTGGCAGCTGCTTTTGTTCTCTTACTGTGCCTGGCATACATCAGTGCGTGGCTGGTTACCATGGTAGCAGGTTTCAAGGCTGGTGTAAACTTCATGTGAAGACAAATACAGAAGTTAATGCCAAAAACTATTCACGCCAAAATTTGCCAGAGTTGTGTTTGAAATGTAACATTTTGCCGTGTAATGTTTTGAAGAGGTGCTAAATGGTGTACTTGTGCCCGTTTATGCGAGACTTTCAAATTTTCATTTGCCCAGGAATATAAGTGTGAGACACCAGTGGATCCAGTCACCACCATGGCCTTCCTTAACCCCGCCCAGTTCCATGCCCACTACAGGCGCTGCCGGGATACGGCCCTGGCACGCTCGACCCGTCACCACCGCTGCCCTAATGCTCTCTGTGGGCGCGTGGCTCAACTGGACAGCGCGGACAACAACAGCACGTCATCGTCGACCACTGAGGGAGGCAGGGCCAGGAGCCAGGATGCGGGGATGATGGTGCGGTGCAATTGTGGGTGGCTGTGGTGCACGGAATGTAGGGAGGAGGGCCACTGGCCGGCAACCTGCCAGCAGGCCAAAGACTACCGCGCGCTCATGAAGAAAGCACGTGAGTTGACCCCCCCTCCACATCATTCACTGGATCCAACAACATGAATTTTAAGGCCGTTTTTTTTTTTATTACGCGTGTGAAAAGTGCCTCTTGATTTTCACCGTTCAAGATTCCTTTGAAGATCTTTAACTCAAATGTGGCTCTAGTGACTTCAGACTCATTGGATCAGGTTCACATGTTTCCTTTAAGAAAGACACGCGTCAAGTTTCTGAAACCCATCGCATCCCATTCTCAATTAAAAAGCATTGCAGAGAGTTCCTTGATGGCTTTGAGTGATCTTTTCAATTGGCCAAGGCATGAAAGAGTCAAGGCTTGAAAGTATGATGGATCGTAAGTATTTGTGTTTGGGGGGGACTCTGAGCTTGTTCAATAACAGGGCCTGCATCAGCACAACAGCTTAACACCATGACCCATAAAAAAAAAAAAAAAACCTCCTTTGGTCATCTTCAAAGAACATTTACATCCTAGCTTCTAGCCCTAACCGTTGTTTTTAGCTAATTTTTGTTTGATTCGTTTTTCATTGAGAATATTAAGAATACTTTTTTTGCAAGCAAGATGTTCTGCTTTGTATTAAAGTTTCATTGAAGATTCAGTTAGGCCCTGGACCTTGAGAGTGCCTAAAACTTTCCCCAGAAGTCTGTAAATCATCAACCGGGATTTTGAAAAAAAGTGCCTTTGCTATTTCTTTTTCAGTGGGAGAAGAAAAAAAGCCACTCATCACACATGTACTAGTCAAGCGGTGCCCACGGTGCCATACCCGCTGGGAAAAGAACGGTGGGTGCCCATCAATGATCTGTGGGACGTGTCAGCTCAACTTCTGCTGGCTCTGCCTGCGTCCCTTCACCAACCACGACTACGATAGCTGTCGAAGGTTGACAGTGGGCTTTGAGGTATGCAGAAGGTCACAGTTCCTTCACCCATCCCTGTCTTGAATTTTTTTTTGGTGTTCGCCTTGGTGCACGTTTCAAAACCTTGCAAACTTTGCCACCGGAAGTCAGTCAGTTAAGGCTTTGACAAGTCTCTGACAAGGCTCTGGACACATTATGTCTGGCTGCAAATAGAAGATAGAAGAGTGTTGTTTCATTTCAGAGGATAGAAAAAATTAGCCCTCTCCAAAACCCTGAAACCCACTATTCCTGGTGGAGCATTCCATCTCCACAACACTCCCTATGCTTTGGGGTTGGCATATCCCCCTGCTGACCCATGTGGCACACTCACAGTAAACATGAAAAGGGTACTTACAAAACGGTTTCCTGATTCACCCCTGGAGGCGTTTTTGCTCGGAACTTTCTTTAATTCACCAAAACAAATCAGTGGACAGAGGGAACATTCTTTACTGCTTGTTAATACCAAAATGCGGACATTCGACCCCCTCTCCCTCCCCCCGTGTGAAGGAATAAAGGCATTCCTGAATCTGTCAAAAACTGCAAACTTACCTGTTGAATGTGGATAGATTTTAATTGGAAAGTCAACGTTAGTCACTTCATGCCAGAGGATGTGTAAACAGGTATACATGCAGACAGTTGCTGGGTTGAACTGAGACCCCTGAAGTCTTCAGGCAGACCGTGCGCTGAACTTGAACTGGGCCGCTGTGCACAGCCTGCTGTTGTAGTGAATGTTGCCCTTGGAGTGTTGTCAAATGTGAGGTTGGGGTTACAAATATCGTACAAATAGTCCTTGGTCTGTATTTGTGGCATTCAGGTGAAACTTGAGTGATACGTACTACCTTGCACGTCCCATCTTTTTTGAAAATCGAAATTTTGGATGAAGATGACACAGTCCACCGGTGGTTGAGGGGGAAAAGAGATTTGAATTGACTATAACTCAAGTAAGCGCAAATTGAAGAATTAACCCAAACATATTGTGTCTGTAACCCTCTTTTTAATAGTCAGTCAAGCTGAAGTACAGGGCTCGTTCCAAGGACTACATCCTGGAGATAGCTATAGAACACCACCAGCATCGTAGCTGGACAGCCCTGAAAAGGAACTGGTGGGCCCTGAAGAAGCTGGCTTCTCGATCGGTGAGTCTTCACTTTGACGACTGTAATCAGTGAGACTGGGCCGTGTTGGTTTCTCCGTTCAGCATTGGAAGGGAAGGCCTTGATTTGGTAACTTCAGCACTAGGCCACAATTTAATAACGACTTGACTGTGACTGCTCAAAGGACACCAACAAGAAGTATATTCAGTTGGTCAGTTAAGAATTTTGGCATGAGTGTTTGTGCACCCCATATCTGAGATTTCTGTGCTTCAGGGGTCAGCGCAAAATTTTTGCATTAGAGTTGTATGCTCAGATCGGTACTCACAAGCACAGAATTGTGCAGATATCAAAGCCAGGAATTTGGTCCCAGAGCCCGATATCCTGGAGTCGTTAGCATGAAATATTGTCTAGCAAAATTTTCTTGCATTCAAAGATCAGTTGAGGACGGCGAGGCTGGTAACCTGTAAGCAAGTATTTGCAGTGGTTGATGTGAGCAGTTTTGCAGCTTTATGAAATCAGCCCCGTGTCTCAACTCTTCACACCGACCACCAGATTTCCAATCCAAATTGGAGAAGTGACATGTCAATCGTGCACGACTTTGGACCATTCTATTCCGCAGGCCATGGTTCACATGTCAGGTCAGAGGCCACAGGGCTTCCGCGCATCGCTGCAGATGACTCTGGACATTGTCGCGGCAACCGCCTCTACTGCCAATCACCAGCCGCTGACATGGGCCCGAACTAAGGAGCACTTGGAGATGATGAGCAGGAGGACGGAGGAGATCTTTGCGATTGCTGCCTTCTGCCACGAGGTACGTCTCACAGCTTAAGTCTGTTCAATTTTTGAAGTGGTGACCCAAAGGGTTCGCACATGCATCTTTACTTGAAATCTGCACCTACCATACGCACACAACCAAGTGCTGTACCATCCCCAAGGGATGCCGTTGCTAGGTAGCAGTTACTAGGCAACGGATTGAGTGCTTGCTTTTATTCATGCATGGAGGCTGTGGTTTGAGTATTTTTAAGATGAGCGCATTCCTCAGTGCACAAACAGCAGGCGCACATGTGAGAATACACTCCACCAGACCAGAGTTTTTCTTCCATCACAGGGTTTCAGACAGCAGAAAGGTAACTGCTCGGGCAGTGTGATGGAGAGTAGCGTGCATGTAACAGTTTCCTGTACCTGAAGTGTCAAGAGCCACACACACGAACACTCCCTCTGTTATCACAGCTACACATACCTAAACCTCACTCTGTCATCTCTGTCTCATTTTGGGGGTTAGGGTAATTTTGTGCTGGAGCACCTGGCGTTCCTGCTGGGGAGTCTGCCGCGCCGACAGAGGAAGGCCAAGTGGTGGAGAGCCATGCTGGACCTCCAGTTCATTCTGCACCGTCTGCATCAGGTAAGACGCTCTCAGCAACAGATCATCGGGCAGTCTTGCGGTTGGGTGGTTCGGGGTTCACATCCAGCTGTTGGATTCAGTCACCTGGAGATGTGCAGCTGCAGTGGGATGCGTTTGAGTTTTGCAGAGAGGGCAAAATGATGGCACATCCTTCGTTTATTGCTACTGTTGCTCATTAAGCCTTCTTTGGCTGTAACAGTCATAGTCAAGAATTCCTTCTACTTCTCCCTGTTCAATGCATAGACATATCATATGTCACTTGGCTGATTTGGACTGATAGGCCAACTTTGTCGAGAATGTATCTTTGCACAAAAGGGTTGAAGAAACTCTGGCTTGCAATCCAGTATATTTCGTGCTACATAACTTGCCATTTGGGGTTTTTTTCAAAGAAATGCAGTGCATGACTAAAAGTCAGAAAATTGTGAATGACATTCATGTATTGGGACAAATCAGCTCAAATGAATACGTTTTAATGTTCAGTCTTATATTTTGTATCATACTCTGTAAATCCTCTCCTAGACAACAAATCTGCTTTTCTTAAAAACAACCATCGACACATCCTTGTAACGTTTTGTTTGGGGTCTGCTTTCTTAACCTAGACCCTTGACAATCTACCAAACATCAAGCGGGCAGAGTCAGAATCCACCATGAACAGACTGTGCAGGCTGATGCATGCTGGGAAGGAATGCCTCAGGAAGCTGGCACAGAGCATGTCTAGGATCAAGGAGTGAATTTCTAAATCACATACCTGTGTTTCATGTGGGCCAAGTATTTTGAAAACATGAGATTTATCATCGTACTTATATAATATTTATCAGCTGTAGTTTTAAGGACTGAATTTTCACACATGATTATTTATTATCCAAAGAAACAACTTTTATATTATTTAATGTCAAGATAGGACTTCCTAGAGGCATAGCTAGGGGGTTGTTTAAGGGGGTATTGACGCTTCCCTCCCCCGTCTTTTGTTGCAACATCTTCCCCATCAGTGCCCCTTTCACTTCTTGACATTCTCTCTTCTCTTTCAGCATGGATGCCGTGTGCCCCTTTTCACGTTTCAACCCCCCACCCCAAAAAACACTACCGTTTCTCTCTGCGTTTGCAGAACCAGAGAAAATTATGAAAATTACTTTAGGGCCAATCCGGCAATGATTTTTTTTTAGAGGTCTGTTTTTCATTTTCCCATGATTATTCAAGTATTCTGCCCAGCTGGAGATGGTGGGACGCTTGTCATTTATTCAGCACATGTAGAAATGTCCACCATAAGTCTCACCTGGGGAATTCACAAAAAAATACTGCAATATTCATGAATGTGCAATTTCCAATGCCCAGCTTGGCAAGGTTGGAGGTACTCTGCCCAAGGTAGTGTAGTTTGCCCCTTTAAACATGTTAACTGAAAATGGCATGATATATAAGTTCTATCTTAACATCACTTCAGGATAAGAAATCTTTAGAGTATCACTCTTTTGTTGTAATATTGAACGCAAAAAAAATTAAGGGGCCGTATACTTTAAATAATTGTGGATCAACTTCATTCAATGACTGACTGCCACCGACTATATAAAAAGACTCAACCCCACTCTTCCCTAAAAACGGTACTGCATAAACTTCACGAGGCCCTGTAGTGTCGTCAGAATTGCAATACAAAGACTGAAAGTTGAGGAGTGTAGGACACAAGATGCATTAAATTAGTTACAGGAAATATGCACACACATTTCAGGAGTCAAGAAATTAAATAGAACTGTGTTTAATAAACCCTTTTGGCAAATTTGACACATTGTCAGACAGCACTATTCAATAAATTCTTTATTGAAAATTTTATCTTACAAAGTGTCTAATAAATGCTCATTATTTTTTCCATGTAAAATACGGAATGATGACTTTGCAAGAGCTGTAAATTTTAATCACATTTTCTGCAAATGGGGTGGATTTATATGGCAGAGCTTAAACGAAGCCAAAGTCTTTTGAAATAAAAAAAAAAGTCAGTTGTGGAATTAATAAAGTTGAATCTGCTCGTTTAATGTGACCTTCAAGTGCATTTCACTAATTGCAAATCAATTAATTTCTGCCTAGGAGCATTTAACACTAAAAAAGCCTGGGATTGGTTCCCCTTGGAATTTTCTTGAATATCGTCAAAATGCCAAGCATTTGGAAGTTTTTCTGTGATAGTTTGCAGTCGTTTCGACCCCATATATTGCATAAATTGGACACCAAGTTCTCAGAAAAGGCCGATTCTTCAGAGACAGACTAGTCGAAATCACGTGAACGTTGCCCCTGATGTGGTCATAACACATGGGCCAACACGTATGTGGGCAGTTAACTATAAATGACAGTAAAAACAGAACACTGTTGAACTGAAATATCATATGCACTTACAATGAATGCCCTAACACGGTTGCCAGATTTCAGAAAACATGGGGCACAACACGACTGAGATCTTTGGGGGTAAATTTTACTCCCCTCTCTTTCCAGCACCCTGCCCTCACCCCCTCCCCCAAGGCTGTGTGATGGTCCTAAACGAAAAAGAGGCTCTTTGAGGGTTAAATCAGGTCTTTACGAGTCAAGAGACAAAGTAGTCAATGTCCCAACACAGTTACATCAAATCCCAACTGCCTGATGTCAGTCAAGGCCTTTGCATTTAAGTGCACATATCTACCTTCAACAACAGTCATACCCCCCAAAACCGAACTAATTACAATAATTTATATATAGATCCTATTTTGTTTTAAAAAAGGACCAAGCAGCACTGTGATCTGATAAAAAAATAATTGAAAATCATCTGAGGAGCAGTGTTCCCCGAAATGTTACATGATAATCTGAGGTTCGGTGACTGACGTAGCGATGGATTTGTGAGGCAGGATGCGGCCGCCGTTGATGTAGAGCTCATCCTTGACGATGACATCTTCACCTAATACGCAGACATTCTCCATTCTCACCTAGAAGACAGGAGATTAAGAGGAAACTGAATTCAAGTTGAAGGAATAAGATACCTGCCTCAAATGTGGTTGCCAGAACAAATGAAATGTTGGGCCAAAATCCAGTCTTGTAGTTGTCCTGCACCAGTCCTCGCAAGTCTCGCGTAATGCTGTCTCAAGGCGGATCCAAAGCTATTCAAATGAACTTTGACAAAGGTACTCCTTAGTCACTGTTTGTCCTGTTTCTTGTGACTGGACTTGTGGAAAGACCCATGCTTTACTTGTGGAGGACTCGACAATTTTCCAAGATGTATTTTTGCGTTGGGAAAATGTTAATTTATATAACGGG